CACCCCCCACCCCCACCCCCCAAACCCTAAACCCTAAACCCTAAACCCTAAACCCTAAACCCGACTTTGTCGACGTGGCGAATGGGGGGCATGGGCTCTGAGAAGAGCAGCAGGGGCAGCGCGAGGTTGAGGAAGGCGTTCTTGTAGCTGCTGCAGCAGCGCGCTGCAGCAGCAGCAAGCTTCAGCAGCTCGAGAGCAGCAAGTCCAGTAACTGCTGCTGTTGTTGTGGCTAAAGCTGGGACTATTCTCCCAGCTATTTGCTGCGCCTTCTCTCTGCTGCAGCTGCTGCAGCTGCTGATGCTGTAGTTGCTGCCCCGCAGCACAGCAGCAGCATGCACGAACTCCACGTGCAGATTCCCCGGCTTGTCCTTCTCGAAGGCCTCCGCCACGAACTGCAGCGGCGCACCCGGCAGCGCAGCTGCAGCAGCAGCAGCAGCAGCAGCAGCAGCAGCAGCAGCGGCGGCGGCGGGGTGGGGGTGGGGGAGGAGGCAGCGGCAAGCGAGAGGATGTGCGGAGGCAGCGAAGCAGCAGCAGCAGCAGCAGCAGCAATCAAGCAGCAGCAGCAGCAGCAGCAACAAAGCAGCAGCAGCAGCAGCAACAAAGCAGCAGCAGCAGCAGCAGCAGCAGCAGCAGCAGGAAAGCAGCAAACCTAAGTCGAGAAGTTTCTTTTTGAGCTCTTGGATCTTTTCGGCTTCGTCATCTTCAGCACTGTCTACTGCTGGCTTCAGCGAGGAGCTGCGGCTGCTGCTGCTGCTGCTGCTGCTGCTGCTGCTGCTGCTGCTGCTGCTGCTGCTGCTGCTGCTGCTGCTGCTGCTTTGCTCCTCGTCGTCGTCTTCCACAATTTGGATTTTCTTTTCTTTGAATTCCGGCAAAGGAACTTCAGCAGCAAGTTTGCGAATCTTCTCCAAGTCCCGCTCCTCAGGAATGCCCTGCAGCAGCAGCAGCAGCAGCAGCAGCAGCAGCAGCAGCAGCAATGAACACAGCCCGCCAGCAGACGCAGGACTGGCAGCAAGAAGAGAGCAGCAGCAGGAACACCCGCACAACAGCAGCAGCTGCTGCAGCAGCAGCAGCACCCCAGCAGCAGCAAAGCAGTTGCCGACCTGCGGCTCTGCTGCTCCGCACCCCCCAACCACCCGCCCAAACCCCAAACCCTAAACCCTAAACCCTAAACCCTAAACCCTAAACCCTAAAGACCGACGAACCCCCCAGCAGCAGCCACAGCCAAACCCGAAGCCCAAAGACCGCTCACCCCACCCCCACCCCCA